GGTGTGCCGATGCCCCCCCGCGGCTCCTCCGCCCTCGCCTCCGCCGCCGCCTGCCGGGCGGCCTCGGCCCTCGCATTCGCCTCCGCCGCGGCCTGCTGCGCCGCCTGCTCGGCGGCCTGCCTCGCCGCCTGCTCGGCGGCCTGCTGCTGCGCCTGCTGCTGCGCCTGCTGCTGCGCCTGCGCGGCCTGCTGCTGCTGCGCCGCCTGCGCCGCAGCTGCCGGCCACACGCAGGAGTGGCCCGCAGGAGGCAATCTCTGGGAGGCCTCCGAGGGAACCAGTGGGGGCTGCTCCCTCGAGTTCGGGGGCCAGGGAGTCTGCTGAGCCCAGATTCTAAGCCCAGGATTGAGCTGGATCAAGCTGGGCGGAGCCGCAGCGAGCAGGATCAAGCAATCTTAAACCGGACTGTGCCTGATGAGGCCTGCTTGGGGAAACCAAAAGGTACCGATACCGCTACTCCCCGAACCTCTTCCAGGGCGCGTTCTGACCAGGATGTCGAGGCGACTCCAGCGGTGGCGACGAAGGCCTCCCAGGAGCCTGGCGGTATGTGTACCTTTGCCTCCTCGGACTGGTTTCGACCGAGGACCTCCCAAACATGCGACGTCCTGTTTTTTTCAGAACGGCGTCCCTGGAAGTCCAGACCCTTTCCCCGGGACCGGTTCTTCGTCCTGAGTCGTTTTTGGGCGGTCCCGAGGCCCGGCGAGGGCCCCCCGGGGCCGAAACTAGCCAAAAACCTCCCGCACTGATTTTCGTTACGACGCGAGCACATCTGGGAATGCCAGCGCCGACGCGGGGCTGCAACCTCCCAGGAGCTGCACCCGAGGGGCCCGAGGCAAGAGAGTGGCCTCTGGCGCGCGCCCCGCCGACGGCTGCGGCCCCCCCGCGAGCTCGGGGCGGCCCCTTTCCCCCCCCTTCGCCTGGGGAGGCCGCGCACCGGAAGCCCCTCTGGCGAACGGCCGGCCCCCTCCTGCGTGTAGCCGAGAGTCGGGTCGGGCGCAAGGGGGAGATAGCAAAGGGGGGGGTGAGAATCAGCTCACGTAGCTGATTCTCATCGCAATCATGAGCATCATCATGATCAACAACGATAACATCGTCAGCATCATAATCAGAATCATTAGCTTGAATATCTCCATCATCATCATTATCATCATCATCATCATCATCATCATCATCATCATCATCATCATCATCATCATCATCATCATCATCAGCATCAGCATCAGCATCAGCATCAGCATCAGCATCAGCATCAGCATCATCATCATCATCATCATCATCATCATCATCATCATCATCATCATCATCATCATCATCATTCCTGCCCAGTGGCGCGGCACTCCACCACCCCAGGGGGCCTGCTGTGCGGCGGCCTGCTGGGCGCTCTGCTCGAGCTCGAAGACGCCTGCTGCGCGCTGCCGCGCCGCCGCCCCGCGCCGCCAACAGGCGACGACGAAGACGACGAAGACGACCACGGCCACGACGACAGCCAGCCACGACAGCGACGGCCACGGCCACGGCCACGGCCACGGCCACGGCCACGGCCACGGCCACGGTCACGGCCACGGCCACGGCCACGACGACGACGACGACGACGAGAAAGATGGCGGCGGCGGCGACGAATGTCGACGAATGACTAGAACGGCGGCGACGGCTTGGTAGCGCGCAGTAGGCGTCTTCAGCATCGGCGGCGCCAGCGGCGACGGCAGCGGCGTCGGGAAGGAGAGAGAGGGAAGAGCATCCAACCCCCCTACCCGTCACTTCCGATGGCGCTCCTGCCCATCCCGCCCATAGCTTGCCGCCGCGCTGACTCCTCGCCTGTCCACCGACCTCGGGGGTCCTGGGAGGGCCCCGGTCCCCTAGGATGACCCCAGCGAGTAATCTGCACACACACACACACACATATATACACAACTGCGAAAACGGCGCCTATGCTTAGATCGTGCGTGTCCTCCTTCAGGCGGATTTTGGATGAAACTTACAAACAATCAAAATATGCTCAAAAATAATCAAAACTAGTCGAAAAATCGTCCACTGACTATTTCTTGACTATTTTTGAACATTCCTCCTGTAGAGGGACACGCCCGACTTAAGCCTATGCACCGTACCAGGTCTGGACTCCATCTGCAGACCCCGCTCCAGCGCGGTACGGTGCTGCATGGGTCGTCGGCCCTGCCGAGGCCAGAAAAACTGTGCGCCGTACCACTCCCTGGCCTCCTCCTCCTCCTCCTCCTCCTCCTCCTCCTCCGCCTCCTCCTCCTCAACCGCCTCCTCCTCCTCCTCCTCCTCCTCCTCCTCCTCCTCCTCCGCCTCCTCCTCCTCCTCCTCCGCCTCCTCCTCCTCCTCCTCCTCCTCCTCCGCCTCCTGCTCTCCTTGCAGGCCTCGCTCCAGCGCGGACGGTGCACGGGTCTGCGGCCCTGCGGAGGCCAGCAAAACGACGCACACCGTATCACTCCTCGGATCCAGCGAGGATCCAAGAAATCCGCGCGGAGCGCCAAAAACTGATGTTCATGGCGCTTTCTTCTTAGGAAGAGAGCCACAAGACGGCCCCGAGTGCCCTCGGAGCACCCTCGGGACCCCCCCAAGAAGATCAAACCCTTCAGAACCAGAGGCGGATGGATGATGTGGTCCTTGTCACGTTCTCGCTTCCGATGGGCTCTTGAAGCCTCCAAGCTGGGCTGGCCGGGGGGCGGGCGGGGCTGGTGCCGTGCGTGGGTGCCCCGATAAAAAAATGGTCGGGGCGGGAAGGAGGGCGGTGCCGGTGCCGTCCGCGGGTGCCGAAATCAAATCATCGGGGCGGAGGGGGCGGGGCGCGCTGGGCTGGGGAGAAGGGGGGCCTGGGGTGGCTCCTGGAGGGGGGGGGGGGCGGTGCCAGCGCCGTGCGTGCCGAAAGGAAGTGGTCGGGGCGGAGGGGGCGCTCTGGCTGGGGGGGAGCTGGGGTGGCTGCTGGGGGGGGGGGCGACGCAGGTACCGTGCGTACGTGCCGAAATCAAATGGGCGGAGCTCCAGACGCACCGTGCAAGCGAATAATATTCATGTGTATATATATATATATGTATATATATATATATATATATGTATATATATATACAGATGTGTATATAAATGTATATGTATATGTGTATATATATGTACATATAAATGGAAATCTCGCCAGACCGCTGTCGGGCCAGGGGTCTGGCTCCCCGTCCCCGTGGCACTCTTCTGCGCTCCTCTCTCGCCACTGCATCTCTTCTCCCAGATAGCGAAGCGCTATCTGGGAAAAGGTACAGGCGGGACAGGGGTAGGAGCGCACCTTAATGAACTTTTTACTGGGGATCGTCGTGGCGGGCCGGACCAAGAATGTAGCTACCATGAGGCGAGGCGAGAATAAACATCAGCAGAAATTGCAAGGACATCTCCAGCAAAACGGTTGCCCGAACACTAGGGACAGGGGTGATGAGACACGGCCGGCCATGTGCAACTTTGCAAATTTGTCTCAAAGGGATAGTGGCCGTCCTGACCAAAAATTCGGCCAGCATTGAGGCGAGAACAGGAATCGGGGATCTTCCGACCCGGGTCAATCCAGACCCAGGTCAGTCAGGCCCTTCAGACTCCTGCAAGATCCTGCAAGATCCTGCACCCAGACCCGAGTCGGTGCGAAGGATCCTGCAGGACCCTGCCGGATCCTGCACCCAAACCTGGGTCAGTGCGACCCTGGCCCTGCAGGAGCCTGCAAGATCGGGCGCTCTGGCTGACCCCCGTTCGCCTTGACCCCCGCCTCGAGGCTCCCGAGAGGGTCGACCCCCGTTTTAGCATCGTAAAACAGGGCTAGGATCGGGATAAATCGATCCAGAGCGTTCCGGAGCGCTCTCAGAGCGTTCCGGAACGCTCTGGAGCGGCCGCGGCGCCCAATACATCCTCCAAACCCGCCGATTCTCAGAGATTTCGAGTTATCCCGATCCGATTTTGTCCCGACCTTCGCGTCGTTTTACATCGACCCCCGACTCCAGGCTCCCGACAGCATACGGCACACGAGGTGTGCAGAAGGCGCCGGCCAAACACGGCCGCCGGACCGGGCGCTCTGGGGCTCGGGTTCCCCCCCCCCCCCCCTGTGGGCCTGCTCTGTGTGTGTTTCTATATGTTACCGGACCCTCCAGCGAGGCGCCATCTCGAGGGAACAAAAAAAAACACTTGAGCCAACAAAAGCACTGGACGAAAAAAAAAGTCTAAACGGGCATGTGGGCTTTACCATTTTGGCCTGCCAGGTCCGCTCCTGAGCCCAGGGGCAATCACACAAGGATCCCAGATGTGGATGTCAAAGCAGCACCTGGGAAGGGGTCCAGAGGTCTGGACATCGGTCATCGGACTTGCCGCAAGGAGCCGCGAGGGCCTGGCAAGGGAGCACCAGAGTGGCAATCTGCCAACAGTTGCAACGTGGCCATCTGGTGGCACAGTGCTGGCAAACAGCGCGTCTACTGAACAGGGGAGGAGGAGGAGGAGGAGGAGGAGGAGGAGGAGGAGGAGGAGGAGGAGGAGGAGGGGGAGGAGCACGAGGAGGAGAAGGAAGAGGCCAGAGGGCCACGCAGTGAAAACAAGGCACGTGGTCGGGGACGAGGTGCTGCGCGACTGCGCCCTGTTTTTCCATCATCATGGCGATGGCGCAGCGCCAGTACACTGGGCAGCGGCCGGCCTAGCGGCAAGTATCCCTCCGCTGGAACGGCCGTGCTTTCTCCCTCCAGTGGCGGGGACCGGGAGGAAGAAGAAGAAGAAGAAGGAGAAAAGAATGGTCAGATGAAGCATACTGGTAATGAGATGAGATGATACAGAAACACACACACACACACACACAAACAAAGCAAAGGAGACACAACTCACGAAATACAGCAACACTGAAATACATAAACGAACTACCACGAGAGTCAGAGAAATGAAACGAGAGGCGGAGGAGGAGGAGGATGAGGAGGATAAGAAGAAGAATAACAACAACAAACAGAGAAGAAGAAGAAGAAGAAGACAATCCAGACAGGAGATCCACGCACAGCGCAGGACGGCAGGGGAATGAGTGAGAAGGAAGAAGGGAAGAGGGAGAAGGGAAGAGGGAGAAGGAGGCGGGAGGAGTGCGGAAAGAGGCATGACGAGGACGCTACAGAAAGACCCTGACTGGCTGTCCCATTAGCATTCGGTGTCGTGCGGCCTCCTTCTATGCACCATCATCATCGTTATCATCACCACCACCATAATCATCATCGCCGCAACCATCGTCATCAACGACAACATCAACATCGTCGTCATCGTCATCACAACCACCATCACCCTCCTCATCCTCTTCCTCCTCACCACCATCATCACCGTCATCAGCATCAGCATCATCATCATCAGTATCATCATCATCATTATCAGCATCAGCAGCAGCAGCAGCATCACCATCAACATCAGCAGCAGCAGCATCGTCATCTCTGACATATACATCTTTCCCAAACTAAAACTGAAAGTTATTGGTTGGTTTGTCATCTTCCTACTCCTATGCATGCCTCCCCTCCTCCCCCAACAATTTTCCCCATCCTCCTCCACCCCTTAGTCTTATGAATAACTGCTCCCTGACGCACCCCCAATCGTGTCGGAACGGCGGTTCAGGCGTGTTGCTGGAGACTTCCTCACCATTTCTGACCCTGGAGCTTGATATCCTCAACAATTTCACGGATGGATGGCGGGTGGTCTTGAAAATGCGGCTCTCGCCTTAGCACCGCGCACATCCTACAAGAGTACAACAGCTTCAAGCATTGATGGCCGTCCGTCTTCAAAATGTGGCTCTCGCTTCAGCGCCGCATACATTCGTTTTAAAGTGCGTCGCAATCCCACCAGCCCTCTGGGCGTCGGTGGTTTAGGGCGTTTCCTCTTCCACCCCTCCCTCTTCCCCTTCGGGGAGGGGTTTACCCCTCCCCCTACCCCCTCCCCACTGACCTGGACAGGAGGGGCGGGGAGCGGTCAGAGCGTCCAAGATGGCCCAGGACTGCTCCAAGAGGGCCTCAGAGAGCCCAAGATCGCCTCCAAGATGGCTCAAGATAGCGCAAGATGGCTGAAGATGATTCAGAAGACGCTCCAACACGTTCCAAGACCGCTCCAAGATGGTTCCAAGTGCCCACAAGAGCATCATTAGAGTGCCCTCAAAAGGCCGAAATGGTTCAAAACCCTAGGGAAAATCAATGTTTTTGGTGTTCTCACTTTTTCGCTTCCGAAGCCCATCCGAGGCCTCAAGATGGCGCCAAGATGTCCCAACTGGGCCCCAACAGGGGCCCAAGAGAGCCTCAAGACTGCCTCAACAGCGTCCAAGAGCGCTCCAAGAGCGATCCAAGAGGGGTCCAGGAAGCGATTTTAGACAGTCTGGAGGGGCAACGCTAATTAAAGCTCTGCTCTTCTTTGATAGATTTGCTCCAAGGTGCCCCCCCAGAGCGCCCCGATGGCGTCTACACGGGCCCCAGACGCCCAAAAACTGTTTCAAAATAAATTCAATCGAGCGCTCGCGCGGGACGCCAAGCCCAGAATACTCTTGGGCCTTGCGGGCGGGCGGAGCGCCGCCCGCCCGCCCGCAAGGCCCAAGAGCCCACCAAACCGTTCGAAGATACCTCCAAGACGCCACCAGGGAGGAGGAAGAGGCGGAGGAAGACGAGGAGGAGGAGGAGGAAGAGGAGGAGGAGACGGAGGAGGAGAGGAGAAGGAGGAAGAGGGGGAGAAGAACAGCTGCCGATCATCGGCGCTCTTCGTTCGAGTGCCTGGTGTGGGATGGGCTGGTGGGGATACGCGAAGCGTCAAGAATTTGAAAGGTGGAGGGCGGCCGGTGTTCAAAATGTCACTATCGCCTGAGCACCGCGCACATTCGTCTCCAAGTTTGCAACAGCGTCACGGATGGAGGGTGGTTCGTTTTCAACATGTGGCTCTCGCCTTAACAGCGCGTGTCTCAAAAGTTCGCAACACTGTAAAGAATCCCACCAGTCCTCTCGGCGTCGGTGGTTTAGGGTGTTTCCTTTCCACCCCTCCTTCTTCCCCTTCGGGGAAAAGGGGTTCATCACTGTTCCGTATTAATAAACACCCCCTCCCCCATGCGACTGGGGGCCAACCCGAGTCCATGCCGACACCCCCCCCACCATCCCTTGTGAAAAAAACAATACAAAACACCTTTTGCTTCCAAATTCGGAACATGCGCAGCCAACCCGATGCGGCCCCCCCCCCACCATCCCTGCCAAAAAACAATACAGAGTACACTTGGCGGCGGCGGCGGCGGCGGCTGCGGCGGCGGCGGCTGCGGCGGCTGCGGCGGCGGCGGCGGCGGCGGCAGAGGCGGCGGCGGCGGCGGCGGATTGGCCCCCAGTAGCTGCCCATCCAAAGACGACTGCTGAATATGCTGGGGCTCGGGCCAGAGTCGGGTGCTACGTATGTGTTGGGAGGGCGGGTGGGGCTGAGCGAGACGGCTTGCGGGCGGAGGGGGGTGACTTGACCACTGTTCCGTATTAATAAAAACCCCCTCCCCCAGGCGACTGGGGGCCAACCCGAGTCCATGCCGACACCCCCCCCACCATCCCTTGCAAAAAACAATTATCCCGGCAAAGCAACCTAACAGCGATGTGTAGGAGCATATTTGGAAGCATTCCCCTGAAGATTCAAATGAGAATCCAGTTGTAGAATTCTGCTGTTCTCGCAGTCGTAGTCGCATTCGCGATGACAGTCGCAGCGGCAACGGCAGTCGCAGTCACAGCCTCAGCCTCAGCCTGCCTCAGCCTCAGCCTCAGCCTGCCTCAGCCTCAGCCTGCCTCAGCCTCAGCCTCAGCCTGCTTCAGCCTCAGCCTCAGTCTGCCTTCAGCCTCGGCCTCAGCCTCAGGCTGCCTCAGCCTCAGCCTGCATCAGCCTCAGCCTCAGCCTCAGCCTGCCTCAGCATCAGCCTGCCTCAGCCTCAGCCTCAGCCTGCCTCAGCCTCAGCCTCAGCCTGCTTCAGCCTCAGCCTCAGTCTGCTCAGCCTCGCCTCAGCCTCAGCCTGCCTCAGCCTCAGCCTGCGGCCTCAGCCTCAGCCTGCCTCAGCCTCAGCATCAGCCTGCCTCAGCATTCAAAATGTGGCCCGGGAATGGAGTTCTGGGAACTCGAAGAACACGAAGTGGCCTACAGTTGGCTCCGGGCATTCAAAATGTGGCCCGGGAATGGAGTTGGGAACTCGAAGACCACGAAGTGGCCTACAGTTGGCTCCGGGCATTCAAAATGTGGCCCGGGAATGGAGTTCTGGGAACTCGAAGACCACGAAGTGGCCTACAGTTGGCTCCGGGCATTCAAAATGTGGCCCGGGAATGGAGTTCTGGGAAGTCGAAGAGCACGAAGTGGCCTACAGTTGGCTCCGGGCATTCAGAATGTGGCCCGGGAATGGAGTTCTGGGAGGTCGAAGAGCACGAAGTGTGTGACTGTTGGCTTAAAACGACTTCTGCGGCACCCTGCCCGGCACCCGCCCAGACCCCCCTGTGGAGTCATCTGCTGCTCTCTTTTGACACCACTAGAAACCTATCAGTCTTCGCTGTTAGGTAAATTATCCCGGCAAAGCAACCTAACAGCGATGTGTAGAAGCATATCTGAAAGCATTCCCCTTAAGATTCAGACGAAAATCCAGTTGTCGAATTCTGCTGTTCTCGCAGTCGTAGTCGCATTCGCGACGACAGTCGCAGCGGCAACGGCAGTCGCAGTCACAGCCTCAGCCTCAGCCTGCCTCAGCCTCAGCCTCAGCCTGCCTCAGCCTCAGCCTGCCTCAGCCTCAGCCTCAGCCTGCTTCAGCCTCAGCCTCAGTCTGCCTTCAGCCTCGGCCTCAGCCTCAGCCTGCCTCAGCCTCAGCCTGCATCAGCATCAGCCTCAGCCTCAGCCTCAGCCTGCCTCAGCATCAGCCTGCCTCAGCCTCAGCCTCAGCCTGCCTCAGCCTCAGCCTCAGCCTGCTTCAGCCTCAGCCTTAGTCTGCCTTCAGCCTCGGCCTCAGCCTCAGCCTGCCTCAGCCTCAGCCTGCCTCGGCCGCAGCATCAGCCTGCCTCAGCATTCAAAATTATCCCGGCAAAGCAACCTAACAGCGATGTGTAGGAGCATATCTGGAAGCATTCCCCTTACGATTCAGATGAGAATCCAGTTGTAGAATTCTGCTGTTCTCGCAGTCGTAGTCGCATTCGCGATGACAGTCGCAGTGGCAACGGCAGTCACAGTCACAGCCTCAGCCTGCCTCAGCCTCAGCCTGCCTCAGCCTCAGCCTCAGCCTGCTTCAGCCTCAGCTTCAGTCTGCCTTCAGCCTCGGCCTCAGCCTCAGGCTGCCTCAGCCTCAGCCTGCATCAGCCTCAGCCTCAGCCTCAGCCTGCCTCAGCATCAGCCTGCCTCAGCCTCAGCCTCAGCCTGCCTCAGCCCCAGCCTCAGCCTGCTTCAGCCTCAGCCTCAGTCTGCCTTCAGCCTCGGCCTCAGCCTCAGCCTGCCTCAGCCTCAGCCTGCCTCAGCCTCAGCATCAGCCTGCCTCAGCATTCAAAATGTGGCCCGGGAATGGAGTTCTGGAAACTCGAAGAACACGAAGTGGCCTACAGTTGGCTCCGGGCATTCAAAATCATGCCCAGGAATGGAGTTATGGGAACTCGAAGACCACGAAGTGGCCTACAGTTGGCTCCGGGCATTCAGAATGTGGCCCGGGAATGGAGTTCTGGGAACTCGAAGAGCACGAAGTGGCCGACAGTTGGCTCCGGGCATTCAAAATGTGGCCCGGGAATGGAGTTCTGGGGACTCGAAGACCACGAAGTGGCCTACAGTTGGCTCCGGGCATTCAAAATGTGGCCCGGGAATGGAGTTCTGGGGACTCGAAGACCATGAAGTGGCCTACAGTTGGCTCCGGGCATTCAAAATGTGGCCCGGGAATGGAATTCTGGGGACTCGAAGAGCACGAAGTGGCCTACAGTTGGCTCCGGGCATTCAGAATGTGGCCCGGGAATGGAGTTCTGGGAGGTCGAAGAGCACGAAGTGTGTGACTGTT